TTGCTATTTTATTTATAACGCTTTGAAGGCCAACCACTTCAATTCATTCAATTCATTCTTTCGTAATTGTGGGTATATTATTGCATTCACTGAATGCCAAGCAAGTTTTACAGTAAAGGAAGCCATTTTGTCTCTTCCTAAAGTAAAATTGCAGAATACTGTTAAGCATCATCACATGTAGCTTTAAAAATATAGTATGTCTACTGTTAAATTCGTGGACGACACCCTGATCCTCAGAGGAAAAGGGTTATCGGCTGAGCATTTAACTGTGGAAGGCAAACATAGGCTGTCAGTCTGTCAAAGTGGCGTTCTCCCTCGGCTAGAGAGTAGAGTCCTCACAAAATGAAATACATATATTTTGTATCTCTGTGTTAATTATTGTTCTCTCTACTGAGACAAAATACCTGGCCGAAAACAGCTTAGAAAGAAGGGTCTCTTTTGGTTTACCCTTTGGGATGGAGTTCCTCATGGCAGGGAAGTTAGAGCAGCAGGAGAGGGGGCCATTGGTCACACTGCATCCTCTGTAAGAAAGTTAACAGAAATAACTTCTGGTGCCCAGCTAACTTCCCCTTGTGATTCTGCCCAGGACTGCAGCCCACTGCAGAGCACTGCTCATGTTCAGGGTGGAGGTCCCCGCTCAGCCAAACCTGCCTGGAATGGTCTTCATGAGCACAACAAACACATGTCCCCTGGGTGTTTCTAAATTCTGTCACATCAATAATACTAAACATATATATGTTGAAAAAGCACAATTATGAAATTTTAGAAAAATTACAGATTTTTCTAAAAGAGTCATAGCTTCTCTAAAGCACATATGCATGTTCATTTTCATATTCTTGCGTGAGCCCAGCCTCAGTCTTTTTCATAAATATGTGGCTCCTTACATCTGTCAGATGACACCAGGTTTTGTGCAAAGGCCTTATCTGCTCGCACACCTGACAGAGGTTTGTGAATGCTCTCCACGGGTTTCACACTGCCTATTGCTAACCTTTTCATCTCTTCTTTCTTATGGCTTTGGCAAAGTAAATAGGTAAAATATAGATAAATTATACGTGTGTCCCTGCCCCTGTGTGGCCTGGAGAGCCGTATTCTGCATTTATTCTGCAGAGAAGTGTGTTCTTAAGTAATGGAGAGTTAAGTGACACGATCGTGCACGGATCTCAAGTTTATGCTGCAGTGCTCATTGTACTGAACAGAGATTGACTGTGTTGTCTCCTGCACCAAGTGTGCTTAAAAATAATGTAGGACGGTACAGATTTGGGTAAGTCTAAAGCATGATGCAGGGTTGTTTTGTTTTTTTTTTTTTAATAATATCAATATGTCACTTGATCTCAGTAACCTCAGTATATTAATGTACCATTCACTATAAATGAATGGTAAGAGTATAAAACAAAATACAATATATATGGAAGCCTTTTAGGAAATTAAAAACACATTCCTAATCTGTGAGATTATAGGCCTTCACTGAGAGGCTATTCTGAGTGCCACATTAGAGCTTAAATAGACTCTCTCCAACACTGAATTTTAAATAAGCTTAACCAATAGTAAGTAGTCTTGCTAAGACCACAGAAATAATTCCTTTGTACACAGCAGGCTTTCAGAAAATGAAGACTTGTTCAATATATTTTGCAAATAGTGTTTGCATAGACTCCAAGATTACCATTAGTCAGCTTATTGCTCTACAAATGGCTGTCTAAATTACTATTCTTTAAGTTGGAGCTCTGTTTTACTCATCAGCATACTTTATTCTACCCTTCTACATACCTTTCCACTAAATTAAATCCTGTGTGTATCATCACCCCTAAGCCCACATCCTATCTGATCTTTAGTTTTGTCTATTTTCCAGATGGGGCTTATTATGTTTAATTCAAACTGTTTGGTTCTGTCTCTGAACATTAAATTACCACATTTTTCATGTTTAGAGTCCAGTTCAGAGTTTTGGATACAACAGAGAGAAAGCTTCCTCTTTTTTATATAACTTGATCACTATTTGAAATGTGGTTATGTTTAAAGAGTATCTACAGGTTCAGTTAAATTCAACATTTCTTGACAACAGATTCCAGTAAAACCAACATTATGGGAAAGGTTCCATTTAGGCCTAGTTTGCACAGCCCTTGATGATGAAAGGAGTCCCTTGAACTTGAGTCACTAATTTTCTTGCTGGTTCTAACTTTGTAAAAGACCATTGATAGCAGAGTAACAATCTAGTTACTTAGGCAAAGAGCTCTCAGTAGGACCAAAGGGCTAAAGATTGTGCCCTAGTTCATACAATGGTTTCCTGGTGAACTTAAGTAGGCAACTTTATTTTCTTTAAAACAGAGGGATTTGACTGATTGATAATCATATTTATAATTATTTGGAGATCAGAGACCTTGCCAAGATCTGTTGAAAACTGTGGATTGTTTTCCCTGAAAAGGCACAAATAAAATTTTAAAAAATTAGACTTTTGAGGAGATGATGTGTGCTCCAAAATATACCCACAGCTTCCCTAGAGGGCTTTGGGATGGTTGCTAGGACCTAAAGAATGTGCTTTAAAAAATAGAAATATACATTTATCCAATGCATTTGGGAATTTGCTTTTAAGATGTGCATTTGAGCCAAGCATGATAGATCAGGCATGCAGTCTCAGCTTTCTTCAGAAGGCCAAAGCAGAGCAATCCCAGGAGTTCAAATTTAATTTGGGCTATGTAACAAGTTCCAGACCAGACTACATACAATGTGAGGTCCTTGATTGAAGAACAAAAACAAAACAAACAACTAAAAATCCCGTAGATCTTGCTTAACAAGCAGGAGTAACGGGAGCTAACTTTCCTATCTTGAACATAACCCACTTCTTGCCTTATTGTCAGCCATTCACCCTAGTTCTGCCCACAGGTGCTATATAAACTTGTTTTAATTTTATTTTAGAAATTCGGAGTCTCTGTTAGCCTCTCCTCGTTTCCCCTACCCCAACCTTTCCATCTTCATGTCCAGTCCCTGTAGAACAGTTGTTCTCATGCACACACCCTTTAGGTGAGAGGCCAAATCTCCTTCCCAAACTTCCTGACATTCGGAACAGTTCAATAAAGTCATGTGCTCTGCTTCTGGCAACAAATCTCCTATAGTGTCACCTGGAAATGGGTCACCTAATTACATTCATGCTGAATGACTAGAGAGTATGTCGGCATCTTAGAAGCTGAAATTCAGCCGAGATATCTGGACAGTGGAGCCCTGTGGTTTTCACACCCAGCTCACACAGAAGCATGTGCTGGAACCCCCTTAGCACCCCCCACCCTGCCCTTGCAGTTTAGAGCAAATGGCTTGCATTCTCAGAATCTCAACATATCCAGCAGGCATCTACATCACCAATGTCTTCTGAGGCTTTCTGAGATATGAGTGCAAAACTCCAGCCAAATGTCTGCTTGGATTCAAGCAACTCCCTTTCTTTCCCTCAGCATTTAGACCTCTTTTCTGTGTAGCTTATTGTGATAGGAAGTAGTTTTCAGCTTCTAATGATAATTTTCTCTCTATAGTTTTGTGTCAACAGGAAGTGTGAGTGATCTCTATATGCATATTAAAATATTTAAATATTATTACACCTGATCAAATATTTTTGCAGGATAATAGACCACACCCAGATGTCACTTCTTGCCAAATTGTACAGTGGCAACAATGTGCACAAATTCACATATCTCTTGAGCCTTGTTTCTTCAGAAAGCATCCTTTCAATTTTCAGTTCTAACGTGAACATTTTTCATGATTCTTAGAAAAATCTCATAAAACAATTGTCCAAAATATAAAAATTTATGAAAAAGATAACATGTGCAGATATCAGCTGCCATATTCTCTTAACAGATTAAAGCCAAGGGGGTTTGGATATAACTCTGCAGGTTAAATGTGGTTGTAGTGGCGATCATCTGATATTGTAGTTCAGATTCACAATAATGCAATCTGAAGATAAATTACTGTGAAGTTAGCAGAGTATACATTGAGCAGTTTCTTCATTGATTCAGCCAATCGGTAACTAATGATCAGTGAACCCTTGCTCTCAGGCCGGCATCGTGCCTGGGACTCCACAGGGAAATCACACATTCTCTGACATCAGTGAGCTTTGTCTAATGAGAAAGATGTGAAGAAAATTCTAGAAAGCTACAAGAAGGGACCACGTGCAGCGGGTAGATACGAAAAACAACTTCCTGTCTCCAAGTGAGGAGTTGTGCTGATCTTCAGCAGAGACAAGTTGATACCTAAAGGGTAGAGGGAAGATAAGCGTGAGAAGAAGAATGATTTTTGGCATTTAGAACAGGAGGAGAAAAGACTAGAGACATAAGTGAGTCTGAACTGGTCAGAGGATCCTTAGAACAGAAATCACCAGGAGATGTGGAGGGAAACCCCGGTGAGAAGTGAGGCCCAGCTGGCAGGGAATGGCTGGGTCATCTGAGCAGCAGCTATAAGCAGAAGTGTGCCTGTAGGCTCTTCCATGCTGTAGGACTAGCTAGTGAAGAATTTTGAATAAAAGACTTCCATAACCCAGTGAGTATATTATGAACCCAATTATTTTTAAGGCTAACAATATTGTGACTGTTACTTTTTTGTTTATACATTACAGAAATGGCACATATCCCTTTGGTATTATGACTTTGAAAGGTCTTCCTTGTAACTGAGTTCAGTGATGCCAAAAGCAATATTTTCACTAACTGATACATGAGAATTATAACAAGAGCCTGTGAGCAGAGCTTTAGTTAAGAAGGTTTTAATAGACGGTGATGCAATCTTTAATGGGGAGATGGGATTATGAAAGGTACCCTGTCTCTAATGGAAATTTGTCTGGGTGTGTTTTTACTGCTCAGTGACTGAAAAGGTTTATACAGGATACATTGGGGAGATTCTCCGAGAAACACACACACACAATGAAAGTTTTCCACTCCATGTTTTCATTTCTTTTTTTTTTTTTTTTAGCAGAGCAATGGATCTGCCAGAAATAAAATCACTTGAATTTTGCACACTTTTTCTAATTTCAGGGGTTAAGCATCTGAAAGGCCAGAATGGATCAGCATTCCCTGAAGAAGAAGAAAGTGCAAGTGAAAGAGATGAGAAGTGGGACCATGAATAGCCCATCTGCAGCAAGAAGACTTCTTGGGAATAACTGGATTGTATACTCTTCTGATACCCAAAGCTCCGGCTCCAGCATCCTCTTCCGTCCCATCCTCACACCCACAGCAGCGCGGTCCTCACCGAAGCCTCCCTGACTGAACTGTGAAACCCAGTGCAGATTGTTGTGTACCCGCAGTAAAGAATGGGCACTTATTTTAAAGCAGCTTTTCTTTTAAACTAATCATACCTGGGAATCTGCTACCGTGGGAGTGCTCTCACTTTGATATTGCCACAGCTTAAGTCCTCTGGCCTCCTGACATGATTGACGTTCTAACGTCAAACGCAAACAGCATTACTCTTAAGAGAACAAAGTAAACCCTACGTGCGCTCGGCTGTGGGTAGTGGGGGTGAGTGGAAGTGACTTGTGTCTGGGAGCTAAGCTAATACCTTCACCTAGCCTGCTTCTGTGTATAGGTCAGAACAGAGTTACTTCATGAAGACAATGGTAGGGAGATGTCGGTCGTCTTGATTCCACATCAGATAGGAAATGGTTTTCCTCCAACTGTGTGTTAACATCTACGTAAACAAACAAGTATCTCTTCATTTCCTAGGTTGTGCAATGTTGGTTTCTCAGCGTCATCTAACCATTGAAAGAAGACGCTACATTTATAATAAAACATGCCAAATCTTTTCTGCTTTCTCTTTTTTTAACTGCTTGAAATTAAGCCATCATCTATTTTGTATTGCTTTTTGATTGTCTGAGTTTTTTGTTGTTGCTTTTTCTTTTCTTGGTGCTAGAGAATGAACCCGGGGCTTAAGGTCTATGCAAATATTTATCGATTAGACTCTGTCCTCAGCCATATTGCATTCTAATAAGTCCCTAGTGTTTTATCATTCTTCTCTGTAATGGAATAAAAATTAGTCTTGTTAATTTAACCATAGACTCACCCTTTAATGAAGTAGCTACTTTTTGTTGAGTTTGCGATTTTCTGTTATCTTTGAGATTAGTATTACATCATTTCTCCCTTTCTCTTACTCTCTTTAGCCTCTCCCCTCTGCCACTTCTCACTCCTTTTCGAGTTTGTGGCCTTTTTCAAAATTAGTTGTGGTTACATGCTTATCAACAACCATTTTAAAATAAGTTTTTCCTAGGAAATTATTCTTTCAAGAGTTATGAAAATAAAGGAGAGCTCATTTCTTGTCTGGAGCTGGAGTACAGCGAGGCTTCATAAGACAATGGTCATTTGTTAATATGATGTTAGCCCTAAGTTCTGGCCTTTGACTTATTTTAATTATTCATGATACATGAATGTACAGTTTAGTGAAGATGGATAATTTTGTTTCTATACTTTTGGTTTTAATCAGTTTCAAATGTTTCATGAATGTAAAGAAATCTTCTCAAAAATCAATAAAGGAAGAGGCTGGTGACAAACAGTAGCGGGTAGGAGCACTTGCCACCAAATGACGACCTTACCAAATCCTGAAACCTACCTGACAGGAGGAGAGATGCAACTGTTTCTCATTTCACACACAGGCACATACGCGCGCGCGCGCGCACAGACACACACACACTAAATAACCATAAAAATCAGTAAAGGAAAATTAAGAATGGAAGAAAAACTGAAGTTTGAAATTTATTATAAAAACTTAAGATGCAAATTCAAAGAAATAAAATGATTTTAATTTGAATTTCATAATGTAGCAATTAAGAGAGCTGTGTGAAATTATTAATAAATGCAGTAGAAATAAGAATTTCACTCACTGAGAGGCATCCCAAGACTATGGACACTGTTCTCTGGCTTCCATTCTGTCTTTTTTTCCCTGCTCTTCCTCTTTCTCCTCTTCCTTCTCCTCCTCTTTTTCCTCCTTCTGCTTCTTTTCTCTCCCTTATTGTTGTTACTAAATCAATTTCTTCAAAACCTTCAGAGTTTATTGCCACCCGCTATGACTATTTTTCTCTCTTTTTCTCTCTACTGAAAACATTATTAAGGTACATATTTCTTATAAATTCTTTTGAGTTATTTATGTTCCAAAGCATCCCTGACACCCTTTGAGAGTGTTTGAGACTCCCTGAGGTACTAACAAAATAAAAACCACCCTTTCCCTTTGCTGGAATAGACACTTTTATAAGTTTACCCTCTACTTACGCAAACAAGAAGGATCCAGAGCGCCAGCTGATCTTGTGTTATCATCTTTGGAAATAAGAAGCCTGCCTTCTGAACTCTTCTTTTTTCTCTGTTCTTAAAACCATAAAGGTATCAAACTTTAAGGTAAAAGTTTTCCTTGGGGAATGTCGTTTTCTTTTATTTCTTTGTCCACTCTCGAAACAGACCAATTACAGTCTAAAGCTCAAGTTTCCCTTGAGAAATCTGTTGTGTTCTCAGAGATTTTAAGGAACCTGGAGCTGAGCTAAGAGGCTTTCAATTTTCACACAATTACAGTCTATATTGAAAAGTTTTGTTTGTTTGTGTTTCACAAGGAGACAGTGTAGCTTTAGTTGGATTGAATAGGCAGAGATATTTTTTTGTTCTGTAGTCTTTCAAATTTTATATTTGCCAAACCTCATAAGACGATATTATGGTTAGCAGACAGGCTTTAACTCATTCCAACCTTGATTCAAATTCAACCTCTGCCAAATCTTAGTCTCAGTTTCTCCACTTAAAAAATAAGTCCATTTACTTTTCACCTACATTGTTTTTGAGGCTCGAGGAAAGGAGGACCTATGAAATCCTAAATTAGACAGGTGGGCACCCTTACCACAGTTGCAAAAGTTTCAGAAAGCATTTGTGTAAACGTCATCTGCTGTGCAGTCTTTTTGGATTTCAGGGTCCAGTGATCAGCTCTTACTCACTCTCCAGCAAGTTTGGCCCTGTCCCAACTCACCAAAGAGCTTGTGTTGCTCCTCTGTTCTAGAATGACCATTTTCTGCTCCCCTGCACAATCTCTCTTTTCATTACTAAAGACTTCAGCATCCCTTTATCTCCTTCCCCAGTCAGCCGTTTGGATGTCAGGAAATCACCTCCTGCTCTTAGGTAAACATCATCACTTCCTCCCAAACTTTCCTCATTACTCTTGTCACTTGCTTTGGGATCTTGGTTGTTTGTGCTGTAGGAAAGGTTAAAAGTTACAGATTTTATTGTAAACCCCATACCAAAAAGTATATGAGGAAATGAATGCCATACAGCAGGCAGCTAGCCAAAAGAACTCACTACTGAGTGATGGATTTGTAGCATCTGAGTTAAGGAGCTGAGCTCTAAAACAGAATTCTAAACTAAGTTCTACACTTACACAAATTTTCCTCATTTCACTTTGAGTTTCCAATGTTTCCTGCACTGTGAGAAAGATGGTTTTAGGCTAGCCTTCATCAAGCTATGTTTATTTTATGACTAGGAGCAGAATATGCGTAACGTATTCACATCTCTTTATAGTGGTTATTCTTTAGGATGGGGCAGTTTAGAGTTAAAGTATATTTCAAGTCCACTTAAAAACACATTCAATGACTGTAGTAGCACTCCAAATCACAGTCTTAGACATAAAATAGAAAGTGAACTTTAAGTTCACTTATTAATGAATCAAGTGAACTTTAACATTTTCTTTGGGTATTGCTGTAACAAGCAACTTAAGCTTAAATATTTCAGAGTCCATTGAGTTACAACATATATTTATTAAGTCATAAATAAGCCACATACATCACTTCAGTGTTCAAGTGTAAATGATTAATAGGAAAAGCAGATTTGCTTATAAGGAAGTGTTTGTGCCATCATATAATTCAGAGTAAAGAGGATACAAGAAGAAATACTCTATTATTATTATTATTATTATTATTATTATTATTATTATTTACAATTTATTCACTTTGTATCCTGGATGTGGCCCCCTCCCTCATCTCCTCCTCCTCCCACCCTCCCTCCCTCTTCTCTCCTTACGGCCCTCCCCTAGTCCACTGATAGGAGAGGTCCTTCTCCCCTTCTATCTGACCCTAGCCTATCAGGTCTCATCAGGTCTGTCTGGACCCTCTTTCACTGTGGCCTAGTAAGACCACCCTACCAGGAGAAGGTGATCAAAGAGCAGGCAACCAAGTTTATGCCTCCCCTTACTAGGGAACCCCCATAGAGACTGAGCTGCCCATAGGCTACATCTGAGCAGGGGGTCTAGGTCCTCCTCATGCATTGTCTTCAGTTGATTCATCAGTCTCTACAGGACCCCCTGGGCCCAGCTTTTTTTGCTCTCTTAGTCTCCTTGTGGAGCTCCTGTTCCCTCCAAGTCTTTCTATCTCACCCATCTTCCATAAGGTTCCCTGCACTCTGCCCAAAGTTTGGCTATGAGTCTCTGCATTCTGAGTGAGGTAATCCAGAAGCAGCAAGACACACATGGTATATACACTCACTTATAAGTGCATATTAGCCATATAATATAGGATAAACATACTAAAATCTATATTCCTAAAGAAACTAAACATAAAAAAGACCCTAGGGAAGATGCTTAATCCTCATTCAGAAGGGCAAATGAGATAGACATTAGAAGCAGGAAAAGACAGGGAACAGGGCAGGAGCTTACCACAGAGGTCCTTTGAAAGACTCTACCCAGCAGGGTATGGAAGCAGATTCTGAGAAATACTCTTTTTCATTTGATAAGTGGCTGATTCCAAGAGAAACACCCCTCAGAGTCATCACATTTATTGATTAATAAACATGTTGCTTAAATGTGAAATCTCTTAAGGAAATTAAATGATTGTGTTTCAGAAAGTCATGCAACCTGAAGACATAGATATAAACACAGCAGAGTCTAAATATCCTCCATTAAAACCCTCCTCTCAGGCCTCAGGAGGCCCCTAAAAAGAGGAGGCAGCAAGAGCTTACGAGCCAGAGGGCACTGATGACACTAGGAGAACAGGCCCTTCTGGACCAATTAAGCAAGCCCATATGAACTCAGAGACTGGAGCGGCAACACAGGGTCCTCTGTGTGTGCATTATAGCTATTAGCTTGGTATTTTTATGGGGCTCCTGAATGTGTGAACGAGTGGACCTCTGACTGCTTTGCCTGCTCTTAGGCCTCTTTTCCCTTTATTGGATTGTTATGTCTAACTTACCTGATGGACTTTGCTTTGTTTGATTCTATTTTATTTTGTCATGTTTGGTTTTTATCTCTTAGGGGCCTGTCCTTTTCTAGTGCGAGGCAGAAAAGGAGCAGATCTGGAGGGGAGGCGAAGACTGAAAGGAGTCAAGGGAGAAAAACTGTAATCAGATATA